GAAACCGTGACGAGGCGAGCGGTTTAGTCAGGTTATCAGCCAGCTGTTGTGATGTCGGAATGTAGGTTGGGTTGACGATACCTTTTTCGATCTTCTCGCGTACGTAGTGGAATCTCAAGTCGATGTGTTTATATCATTGGCTGTAGCCAACCTGTTTTTACATACTTATAGCCGCCTAGTTGTAAAGGAAAATGGTGGTCGCCCCGTTGTGAATAGCTCCCATCTCTTGTAGTAACGTGCGTGCCCAGGCTGTCTCCTGAGTGCATATTGAGAGTGCGACATACTCGGCTTCGGCAGTACTCAGTGCGACGCTGTTCTGAATCTTTGATTTAAAGATAATTGGAGCTCCATTGTAAAGCACCATGATTCCAGATATCGACCTGCGGTCGTTGACATCTGAGGGCAGTCCGAGTCGGAATAGCTGGGGGGCGGTGCATTTCAGTCAAAACGAAGGCCGTGGCTTGCTGTAGCCTTCAAAAACGAACAACCTTAATGCCAGGCTTCCAGTGCTACATCATCGGGTACTACCAAATCCTGCTTAGACTGCCAACAATGCAAACGATGTCCGGTCGTGTACCCATGCTGACGTACAGGGGGTACACCGTCGTGTCGATACCTTCTCCTTCATCTCCTCGACGAAGTTTAGTGGCAACCTCACAGGAGTTCACGTTTGCCTTAGCGTGAATTTTGCCAAAGCGTTCGACGATATCTTCGATGTATCGTTGCTAGCAAATATGCATGGTTGTGCGCGAACGATCTCGACAGATTTCAATCCCCACCACGAGGCGTGCTGCGCCCAATCGCTTCTGACGAAGTTCCTCCTCGAGACTCGAGATGACGTCTTGAACGAGTTGTTTCGTCGTTGCTGCGATCAACATATCGTCGACGTATAAAGCGATGTAAATAAAGTCGTTATTGTTGAAAGAACGCACGAAGATGCATGGGTTGGATTGAAGTGGAGCAAAGTTCCACTTGATAAATGCTTGGCGGATTCGCTTGTGCCACACAGCTGCCGACTGTTTAAGACCGTAGAGAGATTTGTCGAGCTGAAAAACAACAGCATCGGGGTCATCGACTTCAAGGCCTTGAGGGATGGCCAAGAACACACGCTCTTCCACCTCGCCATAGAGGAAAGCGGTATCTGTGTCACATTGTTCGATCGTGTAGTCAAGTTCTTTGGCCCGTGATGCAAAGATTCTCAGCGACGCGCCGTTAACAACTGGTGCATACGTAAAGTTGTAGTCGCCACCTGGTTCCTGCGCGTAGCCTTTCTCCACAAGCCTTGTCTTGAAACGAACGATGACTCCAGTCTCGTGACGTTTGAGACTAAATACCCCTTGGATCCGATGATGTTAGCATTTGTCGGTGGTCGCGTAATATTTCACGTCGCATTTGTTCTATGCGCCGTGAACCCCGCCTCCATGGCCATCTTCCACTCATTGGCCTCTGGCGATTAAGGTGCTTCATCGTATTGCTGAGGGATCACAACATCATCTCTCCCTTGAGCATTCAGGGCGCACTTGAGCAGATCGCTATCTCGGCGTGGACGTTTGAGTCGGGGAGCAGGTACAATCCGTTGGTCAACATCGTCATCAATTTCTTCTGGTGTGGGTAATGGTACATCCTGGAGCACCCAAGGGCGATGATGAAGACGACTTCGGACTAGTACAATTGCGGTCCCATCATGACCGTGCGGTACGATATCTTCTCCAGAAGTACGCAATACTAAATCATTGGTTTCGTGGGGAGATGTCAGCGTGTTCTGTGAGGCAAGGTGACTACCAATCATCGGGATCTCACCAACGACTGTTTCTTGGACTTCGACGTTTTACAAGTCAATGTCGTCCTGTTTATCGGCAATGCTTTCCATGTCAATATCTTGATCGGCGGTGGGGTGTAAGACAGGAGAGGTGTCATCCTCATTATCCGACGTATTGCGATGCTGCATACGGGGTCGTGGTACATCAGCGTCGACTACATCGCGATAACGCGGCGTCATGCGCTCATCGAGAGCAATTGAGCGAGAGATAATCAGCCGATCATTACACCGGTCGACCACTCGATATGCCTTCGAAATTGTCGAATACCCCACGAACATGCACCGGAAGCCTGTCGCGTCAAGCTGAGAGCGCCTTGCTTTCGGGGTTTGAGCGAACCCATTCGAGCCAAATACTCTCAGATGGCCCAGGTTGTCTCTCTCCTGTCCAGCGCTCATATGGTGTCATCTTGTGTGCAGCAGCTGGAAGTCTGTTCACCAAGTAGGCAGCACAGTTGATGGTTTCAGCCCACCATCTAGACTCCACAGCATTGTAGTGAAGCATCGCTCTTGCCTTCTCCACCAATGGGCGGTTCATGCGTTCTGCAAGACCGTTCTGTTGAGGCGAATATGGAACATCCTTCTGGTGCACAATCCCTTCATGACGAAGAAATCAAGCAAACTCATTGCTGCAGTATTCACCTCCGTTGTCAGTCCTCAATATACGGATATAACCCGATTGCTGCCTCTCAACCTCCGCCTTGATAGTGTTAATCTGCTCCAGCACTTCACTCTTCTTCCCCCATGAAGTAGACGTACACGAAACAAGAGAAATCATCGATAAAGGTGACAACGTAGCGTCGTTCTGCTGGTGTAGATTTCTTGAATGGTCCGGCCACATCGCTGTGGATCAAGTGCTGCTTCGCATTCGACTTTATATGGTTGGGTCTGATGTTGCGCTGAAACGATGCAACTGTCATCTCCCCCTGCGCACAACCTTCACACAGCTCATTCGGATCTCTTGTGGAGCACGCGTTCACTGAAACACCTCCCGTCCGTTTCTGGATATCCCCCATCGATGCATATGACGGGTGGCCCAAACGTGCGTACCAGAGCTGTTAGATCGTCGGCTTATCCGCAATAATCGCTTCTGCAGCAGTTGCTTCACGGACCACACGTCGTGGGTTCACTGAGAATAGTCCGTGTCCCCTTTTCTCGAGCGTCAAGAAAGTTTTGCCTCCCTGTGACAGTTCACAGACGTTCCCAACAAAGAGCACCCGGATCCCTCGGTCCTCGATCTTGGCAACAACCAGAAGTTGCTTATCCAATCCTGGTATGTACAGCACTCCATTCACTACGAGCTTGCTGCCGTCATCCAGGAGTATTTCTACCGTGGCCACTGACTCTGCCGTCAACACGGTGCCGTCGGCAACCACAATATTGATACGTTCAGATATTGGGCGGCATCATTCAAGTCCGCCATATCGTTGGTCACGTGCGCGCTCGCGCCACTATCGAGTAGCCACTTCGATTGCGATGACTGTGTCACAGCAAACACGTACTCTTGGCCGGGTTTCTTCTTCTTTGCCAATCGACAGTCGGCCTCTTTGTGGCCGATTTTACCACAGTTGAAGCACTTGCCACGAAATTTGTATGGTTGCCTCGGACTCTTATTGCTCTGACGCGCATATTCAAAGACGACCTCAGTTTCTTCACGGCCACTCTCAGTGTACTCACGCTTCAGCATTTCTGCAGCCTGTAACATCGTGACGTATGTAAAGTTCTCGATGATCTTGACTGTTACTTGGTACTCTCTCGGACGGCTGCCAAGAAGAATGACAAGCTGTCTTTGTTTATCCAGCGGGTCACCGGCAGTAACAAGAACCGGGATCAGCTCCTTGAACCGAGTAAGATAGTCATAAAGATTACCACCGCTTGCCAGCTTGAATTTATTCCGCTTCTGGTTCAGCGCGACTCGATTATAGTCTAGCGATTGAAGAATCGCTCGAGGATTTCTCGCGCGCCTCGAGCAGATGCCTCATCCCGGATCATCTCTCGGTAGTTAACACCGACAGGCTTCGCTATGATCGCCAGTGCTTTCAGGTCAGCCGTCCTCCATGCAGGGCTTTCCTGGCTGATAATTTCTCCATATCCGTTGACGGAGGTGTCACGCTTGAGTAGGACGTGGTCTAGCAGACCCTTCTTCGCCAGTGTTATGCGGGCGTTGTATTCCCAGTGGAAATAATCGTCGCCGGTGAGCAGGTCTTCGGGCGAAGTAGTTCTTGGGCTCATAACCTGATTCTCGGAAGTGACGACAGATGACATGCAGTTGATGACGAGGTAAGTTGAAGCGTGGCTTAAGCTGTAGAAAGAAAATCGGAAAGTGCCATTCATGATCGTTAAAGCTAGGTTCTAGTTCGTAGTAGCATTCTACTACATCTAGCCTAGGGGAGCCGTGTACTTGCTGTTAATTCTCTTTCTTGCGATTTGCAGTTGCCGTTTGAGCTTCAACCGCAACAGCAAAATCGCCGTTATTCGCATTGAATAAGGGTGCAACTGCAGTCCTCCACATGCACAGGGTCCCTTACTCGCAACTCCACACCTGAAATCAACACTCTATACTATTCAGTAAAAATAACGTTGGAGGTAACACCGACGATATTATCCACGAAGCAACAACTTCGAGGAAAGGATTTGGAGCAATCAAAGAAAGAACTAGCAGCAATAACGTAAGTAGATGGAAAAACGGATATGCCTCAGCACAGGGTTTTACCAGAATTATATGATAAGTTTGTCATTGATAACAAGCAAAGTGTATGCACTTTAAAGCGGTTCTGCGCTTGTCCCCACTTGAATCCCAATGTAAGTATGACGATTTCATCATTACATTCAAAACAATAGCCTTCATGGGTCCCAGAAGGTACCATGATACTATTTAGGACAATATGTTTCGCTAGTCAGATGTTCGGCTTTGCGTGGCCTGACTGAGACCCAGACAGGAGAAGTATTCTGTGGGAAGGATACTCCTATTTCCGGTAGCAGGAGGACGCGCCAAGATTCAAAGGCACAACCTAGATTTATGTAGCGTAGCTGTAGCTGCTCCGGTAGTTCACTTTAGTTTCGGCCCTGAGCTTAGAAATTCATCAATTCCTCTGCACTACCTCTCTACTCCGACGGGTCCTTCGAATGACTCTATCACCAGAATCAAGCGACCTAGCGTTCATCGGTCCGAAGCATGCGTCATAGTTAACGGACTTCCAGTACGTGGAGCCGGTTGCTCGCGGTGAAAGTTGTCGGACCTAACGCCGACACTGACGGCAATTCGTTCTCCCTTCCGTGGGAAGCGTTTTGTCACAGAATTGTATCAACTGAAGAACGATTACTATGGCCCGGCTCATATCTAGCTTACCCCATTGCTTTATACAGACCTCTCGGGATGTAGTTGACGAATGGACGTACGGAGTTGTCTCCGGGTACACTATCGCAGTCTCTAAAACAACGCTGCACGTGGTATGCTCGCAAGGGCCCACACGCCTTCCCCCTTCTCCCTACGAGTTCGATGATCAAGGTTGACGCACTCAACTACGCTCTCCAGACAGGCGGGGGCACCAACGCGTCAGGCTTCAGCGCCACGGAGCATCTGGAACAGTAAAACCTACTGGTTGCGGCCTGCCAACGACAGGTTTGCCTAAAACTGTCTTGACCAACCTAAGTCTACCCTATAATGGCGAGAAGCTAGTTCCGCTAATAAACCCAGCAACGCTTCAACTCACCCAAGTGCGCCGCCAACACATCGTGGACTATAACACTGCCGCGATGTCGAAACGACCAGCGAATTTGTATTCTGACCCTGTGACGTTTCCCAGGGTGACAGATCGCGAGAATGTTGCAGGGAGACGACGGTCTGTTTATCAAGACACGGACGTTCACGCCGACCACGATATCGATACCGAGTCAGCTCTCCTTGAATCGGAAGATGACGACGTAGACGATTTGCGCCACATGCACAGACCCCTCGCTAAACGTGCTCGTTTGGTGACGGCAACTAACGCATCCAGTTTGCGCTCTGCAAGTTCTCCTGACTCTTCATGTAGTTCTGAGGATAACCTCAGCCAGGGGCCCAGTAGTCACAGGAGAGAACGCGGCGTGGTTTTTCATCCGTCTCCAACCGAACGACACGATAGCTCACCGTCGACATACAGGTAAGGTTGCTCAGACTTTGCTCCAGTCCGCTCAACAGTCTCAACATCTCGACTTCATCGGTTCCCCCTGTGCTACGCGGTACTTACTGCTTTGAATTTGGCCTTGGTCTCTCCATCATGCATTTTCGGCGAGTCATTACCACAGAGGAATTTCCGACGACCGAATGTACAGTGAATATGTGGGATTTTTCGTCAAAAAACACCCTCCCAGCTCCTCCCAAGGCCACAGGGTTTAGTGACCTTATTAACGCTCTATCATCATTTATCAGGTTCTCAAAGTACCTTTATAACAAGTAAACCAACCGGTTCGTTGGTGCTACTCACGATTTCGTCATTGCCTACACTGACAAGGCGCCACTGGATCCAACGATGGCGCGCCTGCTCACGCATTGGGTGAACGTCAAGTTCGGCAAGTTTCGGAGTCGACTTCTGTCCAGAGGTTTGGCTTCCGCGCTCCGCGTTCGGAAGCAG